AAACATTTCACATTAAAGCTGTAACACAGATTAAGGGGTGGGAGGGAAAGCCACTGGAATGGGAAGAACCACACTGAAACCATTCTTGTTTACGTCCATGTTTTAGAGTTTCAGGAATTGCCTTTCAGACATGGCAAACCCTGTGTTTGTATCCTCCGAGATATAGAGACTTGGGGGGGGGGGGTCCATAGTGGGAATAGTTGTTTCATTGACCTTATTCTAGGGATTCTTGTTCTGTTTATGAAAGGACAAGTTCAGTAGATTTTACCATTCCTAGGCCTTCCTTCATGGATCTCTGGTGGCGCAGGGATTAAAACACTCCGCTGCTAATGGAAAGGTCAGCAAGCAGTTCAACCCCACCAGGCGCTCTGCTGGGAAAAGATGAGACAGCCTGCTTCTTGAAAGGTTTACAGCCTGGAGACCCTCTGTCCAGAGGGCTGCTATCAGACACACTTGACCGGATGGGGAGGTGGTTAGAGTTAAGGTCAGGGTTTACATCTTTCTTCAACTGGTCTTGTTGCTGAGAGCAGAAGACTGCTGTAAGCAAGCTTGGCGTTTTCAAGAGAGGAAGGGATGGTTTGTAAGTAATGAAAGAATTTATGATAAGGTTCATTTTCTCTCTCTCTCTCTCTCTCTCTCTCTTTTTCTCCAGTTCTCTAGTTCTAGCTACCATTTCTAGCTCATTATGTCTGCTTCTTCATGCTAAGATTGGCGGGGTTTGGGGTGGCCCAGAGCCTCTGTCTGGACCATTGAAAATGAGAGAGATAGGAGGGACAGGGTTAAAAGTGAAAAGCCATGACTGGAACAGGTTTTCTATCTTTATCGTAGCGATGGGCTAGCAACCAATGTTCCCTTTAATCTTTTGGTCTGTCTAGAAGGAAAAGACATTTTGCTTAGAGCAGCCTCTCTACGGGGTTTGTCTTCAAGAGGAATAAACCACCAAAAAAGACATTATAAGGGGAAATGCTTCTTTTGAGTGTTTCTCAAAATATGGGTGGAAGAGCTTGTCATAGGAGAAAAATAACGTCCAGTACTTTGAATTGTTATGCTCTTTGTTTTATCCCAATAACTCCTGAGGGGTTTAATCTTAGACAGCTCCAATTACTAGGTGGTGAATTTTTCTCTTCCAAATGATGTATTTCAAGCAGTTTAAAGAGTTCTTTTTGTCAAAACCTAAGAAAGTATGCCTAGTTTAAGCAGGTACATTATTCTTTAGGTAGTATGATAAAAATATTTTTAGTTAACTGTATCTAGTTTAATTGGCTAATTGTGTATACAATAAGGCAATGTTAGGCACCTTATAATTTCATAGATGAAAGATGTGTGTGTGTGTTTTCTGAAATCACTGGGCAGCATCTACAAGATTAAATGTGTCCCAAAGATGTGTTGTGCTGGGTTCTTTTTTGTGTAGGAAATGAGGAGCCTACCTCCTCTTCAATTATAAAGTGGCACACTTCCTTACTTGTTGAGTTGCAGGAGAGATTCATTATCTCGAAATTGGACTGGAGTTGGGGAGGAGACAAAAATACTTTTCATTACTGGTCACTTCTCTCTTTCCCAATATCCACGAGTCCCCATCTCCCTGTGAATCTGTCAGCTCTGGGGTTGGCGTAATGGATAAAGGGTGGGTGAGCAGACAGAGCAAGGGAAGGGGAAGTGGAGCAGGGGAAGGCAGTGGGCATGATAGCAAGAGGGAGGCAGGGAGCTGGGCCTGGAATTGCAGAGGGGTTTCCAGCAGCTGGTATTTGTGGCATCTTAGAGAAGATGAACTCTTGAACTCGTGTATCATCAAATTCATAGACACCCAGGTCTTGCTCCTTATTACTGCCTTCCCAAACTTGTTGAAATTGGTGTATTGGTCAGAGCACCTGCGACTCCTTGGCAAGCTAGAGGTTCTATTATTTTTAAATAAGGAAATCATGACATTTGAAATCACATCATTTAAAATTTTGGCTTGCCTGGCCTTGCACTTTAATGGGATTTTTACTGCATACAGAAGTGCTCTTGGCAAAAAGAATATATTCTTTGGAAATATTTAGGGGAAGGTACTGAAAAGAGGGTCTGGGAGGCTAATGATGACTTTTTTGTGTGCTTCCCGATTTTCAAATGGCAGGAGTATGTGCAGTAAAACCTCATTAGGTTGATAGTGCTTCATTAAAAAACACACAATCTGAAGCAGTTGCTATATCTGAGCTACCCAGAGGCCCCAGGATTTTCAAAGAAGAACATGTCATCAAAGCTGAAAGCTCCTGATTCAAAGGTCCCCATTTTCAATCTCCTATTTTCAAAAGGAGATTTGAAAAATCCAATTTGCCAAAAGAAGGGACAATAATTAAAATGGTGAAGAGAGAAATGTTCAAGCGAAAGGGGATGAGGTTCAGTACCTTGTAGACTGTCTGGCATGCTGTTAAATGAACTTACCATATTCATACACTATCATTAGTATCCCATACAAGCAAAATTTTGCTGCAGATAATTCAAAAGATGGTTGTAGCAATACATCCACATGGAACAGCCATAAATACCAGCCTGCTGCAGAGGGGGCACTGGAACGCTGGGCTTCGTTACTTTGGACATGGGGTGAGGAGGGAGCTATTTTTGGAGAAGGACAGCATGCTTAGTAAATTAGCAGGTCGGCACAAAAGGGGGAAGACCCTCAAGGAGATGGCCCCAGTATTGGGCAGTGGTTCATTCTATTGTAGATAGACTCTATGGTGGTCACTGTGAGTTGGCAAAAATTTTTCTCTGATATATTTGGGAAAAGTTGAGTTCAAAAAAATAAAATGAAAACTTTAGTTTCAATAAAATATCTGCAGACGCATATTTGAAATCTTGTGTCCTACGAGGTCAGCAAATCTACTCTAAGTCTGGAACACCTTCAACTAGGGCAGGCCTTGAAGGCAATTACCACCCCCACCCCCCACCCATAGGAGAAATAGTCACATAGACCAACCACTCTTTTACCCGGATACCCTGTAAGGATAGGTCAATATATGAGTTAGGCAATATATTGGCATAATAAAGTTATGACTAGTGATTCACTTTGTACATTGAGGCTGAAAAATAAATGATAGTGCACGGATATATTTCTTCCCTCACACTTTGTCTGCATTACTACAGGTTTCAAAATCATGGAATTGGAATGAATAAATTGTACATGAGCATATTAATTTGACCAGCCAGCTCAATATTATTTGTCTAATCCCTCTCCTTTCCCAAATTCTGAATACAGCATTCCTCTCTATATTCTTATGCAGCCTTATTCAGTCCCCATCCATCCAGCACGTCTTTCTGCCCCTTGTGAAGCCAATGTTGGAATCTGTGAGGAGGAAGAGATCAAGGGAAATCTAAATGAGCTGGGTCTACAGTCCATAAATAACTTCCTATGAATGAAATTTGAATTTTACTAAAGACATGATAATCACATAAGTTTGGGGCTGATCTCTGCCTATGACCTTCTTTATGTACAACCATGTGATTAGGTATTTTTCAACCCCAAACTATCTCTTCTCTCTTAATTCATATTGACTAGTTAGCCTGGTTTTCAGAAGGCTAAGAAACCGTAGCCTGACCATTTCGGGGTCCAATTCCATTTGGTCATGTAGACATGGCCGGTGCCCTTAGAATGAACATATATCCCAATTCAAGGTAATGTTAGGATTTGGAAAACTATTCTCCGCATTGACCTTGGGGATGAGTTAGATGTTGGAAAGATTTTTCCAAAGTCATTTATATTTCAACATGAATAATTAGGATACCTATGACCTGAAAGCTTTGACTGCAATAGGTCGGTTGCTTGCTAGGAATTGTTTTGGACTTTCTTATGTATCGCCACATATCCAGAGAGCAGAGAGGCTTTAGAGAAAGCCCCAAGTGGAGAAGACATATGAGGCCTGGAGAAATGACAGAGTTCATCTTTATCTGTCCCCCATGTGGAGATCATATATCTTGTTTATGATCTCACAGACACAAGAGATTTCTGAAGGGCACAACAATACTCTTGGTTGGCAGTGTGAGTTTTGTAGGACTCTGACCACTTCCACTTGGATTTCTTTATTTTGGAAATACTGCTCGATCAAGAAGGCCTATTTTTAGGGAAAAGTGACTGTTTTTGTGCATACTGATTCAAACACAAAGGGGACATTCAGGACAGTGGCGTGACTTCTGTCCTGCTATTCAAGCAGGCGACAGAGAATTGTGTCAATTGATCATTTTCCATTGTATGATGTGATCAGGCAAACATCCAGAATTTTCTAGGAAAAAGCACAACTGCTTGGCCCCATGCTTGTATATCATTTCTCTATTCCTAACCCCCACCTTGGACTACCTTCTTATGTCATACATGCATGGCTGTCCTTTTCCATTTTCCTGGATCCCTTTAGGGGGCCTAGAAACCTTCTTGGTAGTCTACCTGCATAATGCCCTTTGTCTTAGCTTTCACAATAGCTTTTGCATCCGATTTTAGGTCGCCAGTTCAGACCTTAGCACAGACAGCCATCAGCCAGTTAGGGCCTGCTTCTTGGGCTCCATTTTGTTTCCTGTTAGATGTGAGCTCTTGTCCTTGCCCTGAGCTTCCACCTGATCCGAGGGCCTCAGAGAACTTCAGTTCTAAGGCATCAAAGTCTCTTTCTCTCTGAGCTAAGGCTGACATGTTGTGGCTCCAGGAACACAAACAGAATACCAAGTACAGGTCCAAAATGGATAACCCTTTTTGCTTTAAGAAATTTAGAGCCTAATATTATGGGTGGATAAATTTCAGCCAGCCTCCTCAAATCTGTGCTTTGAGGGGTATGCTTTTAAGAGAAAAACCAGTTCCTACCTCTTCCATATACTTATCTACCTTGTGGCAAGAAGGATATGTGTACAACATCTTTGCTTAGAATGGTAGGGGTTGGTGTTAATGGAATTGTGGGTGGCTATTAGCGGGGGTGGGATGGGGGGTTGCTGCCCTTGTTGTCTGCCTTAGGGACAGACATTCAAGGTTTGCTTTAGAACTGACTTCATGGTAAAGTGGCCGAGTCATGGGAAGGGATGATCTTACCACCATCTGTGCCAGCTTCGGTTCCGGGCAGGTCGTCTTTGGGGGGGTTTTCTTTGCCACACACTTTCTTCACGATAGCCTGAATTTCCTTCCTGATGGTTTTATGCATGTAGCCATAAATGTATGGGTGGATGCAGCACTGCAGGAAGAAAAGCCAGATTATTATGGTGATCACCCATTGGGGTACCTGGGTTTGGACATCTACCCAGACGGCCAGGACTGCTAGAAAGCAGTAGGGCCCAAGGGACAGCACATAGGAGAAAATGATGAGAAAGATAACTTTGGCAGCTTTGCACTCGTAGCACTTAGGCAGACGAAGGTTGGTACAGCTGTTTCGACGACTGGCTGGAAGGCTCTCCGGGAGGTTCATGGCCTCAATGTCATCCTCATTGAAATGGATCCCTTCTCCAAACTCCGGGCTGTCTTCTTCCACGTCGATGCTGCAGTGGTCCTGGTCTGCCTTCATGCTGCCCTCCTTGGCCTCCAGGCCGCCTTTGCTGGTCTCCTTAACGTCCTTGGCCTTCACGTTGCCTTCTTCAGCCCCCACACTGCCCACTTTGTTCTTGGCCTTGCTGTCCTTCTGGCCTGTGAACTCGCTCTCCTGCTGGCACACGTTTTTCTTCCGCGCTCTCTCGTCACTCTCCTTCCCACAGTCCTTGGCCCTCACTTCCAAGCTGTGGCTCTTGACGTTGTACAGCAGAGCGTGCTGCCGACGGGCTGCACTGAACACCACGGAGTAGCAGCCAATCATGACCATCAGTGGGATGATGATGAAGGACACGACGCTGAGGGTGGTGTAACTGGGGCTGTCCCCCCAGAGCATGGAGCAGAGGGCATTGCGCTCGTCAAAGGCAGCCTTACCCCAGCCGTAGAGTGGGGGGGTGCTTTGCAGAACGGCCACGATCCAAGTGCCATAAATAAGCGTGGAGCCCTTGCGTGGGGTCATCTTGGATGGGTAGGTGAGAGGGTGGATGATGGACAGGTAGCGATCTATGGACACCACCACGATGGTGTTGACACTGGCAAAGGCAAACAGGTGAGTGAGGCTCACCAGGGCCGTGCAGAAGTGGTAGTTGAGGGGCCACAAAAAAGGCACGGAGGTGGCCACCACCCAGGGGCCCACGAGCAAAACCTGCAGCAGGTCGGTGATGAGGAGGTTGAAGATGAAGCGGTTGGCCACCTGCAGCAGCTGCGGCTTGCGCTGCAGCGCCATCCCCAGTACAACGTTGCCGACAAACGCCACCACCAGGAAAGCCACCAGCACAGTGGAGCGGATGATGCCGTGTGCCAGGCTGATGGGCATTTTTGAGAGGGGGGTGCACGAGGGGCTGCTGCTGCTGTTGTCACTCGTGTGGGTGCTGTTGGTGCAGTTAGACGCCATGGCAGGGGAGCAGTGCTCACGCTGGGGGGGGGGGAGAAAGAAGCCAGACCAGTTAGACACTTTCCCTGCTCTGCGGGCCTCTAAGTCCCTGGCACCTCTGCCTCTGAAGCTGATTGGAGGAAGTCTCCCGCCTGTCTCTCCATCCCAAGTTTGGGCTGGCCAGCTGGGCGGGGGGAGGGGGGGAATGTTTCCTCTCTGCGCATGCGTGCGCGCTCCTGTCACACTCTAGGTCTCTCCCTAGTGTGCTTTCCCTATCTCTTTTTTTTGAGGGGGTGGTGCAGCTGCGTGCTCCCATGGTCTCTGACTCTCTTGCCTCAGTTTCTCACTTTTGGGGTTGTTTCTCAGCCTCTCATTCACGCTTGGTCTGTGTCTCTCCGCATGTCCCCAGGTACTCGCCCGTCTGCCCCAGTTGGCCGCCAGCGTCGCGGTCTCTCAGCCGCGGTCTCTCAGAATCTCTGCGCGTGGGCTCTCTCTCTCTCTCTCTCTCTCTCTCTCTCTCTCTCTCTCTCTCTCTCT